TAAAAATTAAAATTTTAACTACGCATAAAATCTCAATTCCATAAAAAGGGTAGATTCTTATCTCTGTTGTAAAAGTGGTTAATTTCCTTCTGTCTAAAGGACTTAAACACAGGCAATTTCTATATTTCTGAAGTGATTTGGGAGCTGTGTAAGGATCTTAAGTTTTACTAACGTTTATTTTATTTTAAATCTTTACTATCACTTCTTATTTTCTACTTCCGGCCAGAATTAAAAGCGTTAACTTATTTATGCAAAATTTGTCTGGCGAACGCCAAGTACTTAAGTTGTGGCTTTTTGCCAAGCGAGAGAGAGGAAGGAGTTAGTCGAAGCAGGCCGCTTGCCTCAGAAGTTTTACTCGGTTGCTGTTTGCCTTCCCGGCCAGAGGTTTAATCCTCGTGATAATTTTAAACATATTGTAGTGTTAACAGTTCTCTGTACTACATACAGCTTCCTGTTAATTAAGGCCAATCTTCCACGTTTATTATTCCAAATTTAAGTTAGAGTTTAGTTATATTTTTATATTCTTAGGTTCAGACCACAAGTAGTTGGTCTCTGTATTCCGAAGTACGGAAATTATTGTAAAGAGTGAAAAATAAAGGGTTTCGTATGCCCTTCCTGTGTATCTTGTCTGCTTCCCACAGTTTTTGAACATAGCTTTAGTAAGCTCCCTGTTCCGAGTCAGGTCCTTGCATGTTCCCAAAGAAAGTAAGGCGGAACATAGAACCTGATAGTGGCGCCCAACGAAGCAGAATAAGTTTCAAGAAGTTTCAAGAAGAACCCGTGCTGCCTGCAGAAGCGGCTCAGAATCCAGAAATGCCAGCTGCCGCCCTGGAAGGATTTGGTTACATCGTCCAGACCATGCGCGATTCGATGAAACCAGAAGCAACATTTAATGGAAACTCACCGGTAACCAGTTTTTTGGAAAAATTGGATGACCACTTCATGCTCTACCCCGTGCACGAGTTTCAAAAAGTTACCTTAGCTATCAGCGCTTTGAGGGGCCAAGCGCTTAACTGGTTCAAATGTATAGGCAGAAGTCTCTTGGGTCAAGCAGGAAGTCCCACCTATACTTACGAAAGTTTCAAGACTGCCCTAGTAAAAGCCTTCCCTGTCGTAAGGGATCGTGCGAAATTAGAAACGGAACTTTTCAGCATATATCAGCAAAGAATCGAAAATCTCTCAAGCTTTATTTTAAGAAAAAATTCACGTCTTCAAACTCTTGTATGGAAACCGTCCGGATCTGAGATAATTCAAGTGATTTTGCCGAGGTTACTTCCCCAAGTGCAAGACTTATTATTGAATTAAGGAATCCGACTACACTGGAAAAATTATTTAAGCTAGCAATCCAGTTTGAAAGTAGAAGAACGGCGGACATTGAAAGAAGACGCCAATATCAACAACGAAACCAATTTGGTGCGCCAAGACCACAGCAAAGTCAAGCACACGGCTACGGAATCAAAGCAAATCAGTGGGCAAGGAAATCCGAGCATTCAAAAACAGCCGACGAACGTCGACAGTTCAATAGCAACCCAGGAAAAAAGTCTCAAGGCCAGTGGAAAAAGAAGGAAAGCATGGAAACAAAAAAGGATTTAAACTAAAACGGATTTCTGCTGACAGGAGGGTGCGGAAATCCGAAGGCCAAGAAAACCCCTTTTCCTTCAAGTTAAATACAGTAATGGTGAAAAATTTGATCTTCCGAAGACTGAAGTGTTTGGTGAATAATATCCCAGCCACCGCACTCCTGGATACAGGCGCGCAGTGTTCCTGTGTGTGGCAGAAGATTTTTTAGGAAGTATTTTCGTAAATATCGCTTATATAATTCGGATAATACGACAGTGTTAGCTGCGCAAGGAGAAAGATGCAAGTGCATAGGTAAATTACCATATAATCCGTATCAAGGACGAAAAAGTAAAGGTTTGTTATGTTTTTCATAGTAAAGAATCTGCAAGCACATATTATCTTAGGATAGATTTTCTTTCAGAGGCACAAGCAACGCTGGATTTTAATGAAGCGTCCCTTAAGCTGACGATGAAACCAGTTCGAGAAGAAAAGGCTGAACTGCCGGTGTTAAACCTTGACCACCTGCCTAATGAAGAGCAACGAAGAATCCGACAAGTGGATCCGGCACGGCAGACACGGCAGGCACAAGCTCCAGAGGTGGAACAACGTCAAGCACAAGGACAAGCCATTAGGAGGCAGGAGCAATTGAAAAGAAAGTTTCCCCGCTGGAAAATTGAAGGTAACAAGAAAAAGAAGCCGTTCCACCGTCCAGAAAAGAGAGCTCACGAACACCCCCAGAATGAAGAAGGGAGAAGTACGACGACTCCAAAGAAAGCCAGGAGAAATAACGGCAACTATAACCCGGCTTTCAAACGGAAGATCAACTCATCGGACAGGACTCTCGGCAGCAAATGTCGCCGAACTGCGGAAGGGCCACCAGCGGCGGCGGAGGAAAAGTTAGAAGGAAAAATTTGAACGGACAGCAACGAGGTCCAAGCAGGAACGCGAAAGAAGTCTCCCGATTCCGCCAAGACCAGCGGCCATCAAACGGCCAAGACCACAGGCAGAGGCGGAAAAGAAAAAGAAGGTATTCAAGGGTGACCGAACTGGAGGGAAAAAGAAAGCTCCTACAGGAAGGAAGGCACTGAAGGGCGAGTCCGCACAAGAAGGAGGATAAATCAAACACGAATCTTGCGCTACCTTCCAGGTCTGGGCTCAGTGAAAAGAATGTCCGAATGTCACAAAGATAAGAAAAGTTTTATGTTACTTTGCAAACTTAAGTTAATCTTTCATTCTTTACTGCAAGTGGCAGATTTCAAGAAGTTTTACCTCGTGTGAGGTCTACCTTTATCGCCAAAAAGGCGAGAAATGAGTTGTTACCGATTTTTTTGGTATTATGTTTTTCAATTACTCGCGCGTAAAAACTAAAGTTGATGTAGAATAGGAATGTGTAAATACTTAAATATTGTAAAAGTTATTGTATAAATTTTATTTAAAAACATTCTGGCAAGAAAGAAGTTTTAGTATGAAAGACTTTTTGAAATGTAGTATTTCAATGTAGAAGAATTGGCACTTGCTTTGAAAAGAATAGAAGTTAACAATGTACTACTAATGTATGTTTTAAAATGCGTAAAATTAACGGCATGTTAATATGTTCTTATATACAATGTGAACTGTTATTTTAAACGTTAAGAAATACTGTGATATGGTAAAAGTGAAAGTAATGCCAAAAATTTTAAACTTATTTGTGTGACTGTAAAAAGACCAAATTATGGTGAATATGTGTTAGAGGTTGAATGCATGTAGTTAGGCTCTCTGACGCTACACTTCAGAGTTAGCCACTTTCAGAATAGTACCTCAGGGTTTAGAGTTGAAGATAGGGTGTGTTACGAGGTCTGGTTATGTTGAATTTTAACACGTTAGTGTTTTGATTGTAGGAGGCAGTGTTGAACACGTATACATAAACACATTCGTGTTTGGTGTTCTTTTACAACACATGTCAGAGAGCACGGGGAGAGATAATTAAAATAGTCATGAATGAAATAAGAATGTTAGAGAAAATATAAATATGCATGTTACTTGCCATTTCATTGTGTGTAACATTTCATTAAACTAGTTTTCCTTCCAGATCTCTGGAAGGAATCAGATTTGAATAAAAGCTCCTGTTTAGATGCAGTACAGATGAAAAATTGGGTGTCCATGGAGCTGCTATTGTAAAAAACAATTTTTTTTTAATTTCTAGTTTCTAGTAAGAAATGTTTGTAAAAGATTGGCCTCGCGTTAGATTCTAGAGCTAAAAGTTTTCAACAAGGTCGTTTTAGACCTCAGTTTCAAACTAATTAACTCTGGCGGGAAGTATGTAAGGATCTTAAGTTTTACTAACGTTTATTTTATTTTAAATCTTTACTATCACTTCTTATTTTCTACTTCCGGCCAGAATTAAAAGCGTTAACTTATTTATGCAAAATTTGTCTGGCGAACGCCAAGTACTTAAGTTGTGGCTTTTTGCCAAGCAGAAGAGAGGAAGGAGTTAGTCGAAGCAGGGCGCTTGCCTTAGCAGTTTTTACTCGGTTGCTGGTTGCCTTCCAGGCCAGAGGTTTAATCCTCTTGATAATTTTAAACGTATTGTAGTGTTAACAGTGCTCTGTACTACATACGGCTTCCTGTTAATATATGGCCAATCTTCCACGTAGGCCCTTGTTTATTATTCCAAAGATAAGTTAGAGTTTAGTTAATATTTTTTATATTCTTAGGTTCAGACCACAAGTAGTTGGTCTCTGTAAATAAAGGGTTTCGTATACCCTTCCTGTGTATCTTGTCTACTTCCCACATTTATTGAACATAGCTTTAGTAAGCTCCCTGTTCCAAGTCAGGTTCCTGAATGTTCCCCAAGCAAGTAAGGCGGAACATTGAACCTGATAAATTCATGTATTAAATGCAAACTAGATTAGCAGAGAAGTTTTTTTCCAAATACAAGGTCCAATAAATATATTCGTAGCGACATTTAGACGTCGAGTTTATGAAGTACGTAATTTCATAAATACTTAAAAGTATACCCATAATTTCATAAATGCAACGTAACTCATAATGCAACTCTTAATTTCACAAATGCATATTAATGGAATTTTTTTTTCTGCTGTCCTGAGAGTGCATACCTTTTCTAAAAATAGTACAGCTATGGTATATTAAGTCGCAGAAATTATACACAGTTTGATAATGTTTAAAATCACAACACATGCAATATAATCTGAAACAATAAATTACCGACTGTTAAAACAGCACAATTTCTGTTTCAAGTTAGAATAATATTTCATGAATAATATTATTGCTTGTTACAACGCAAGCCATATTTAAAAGCCCAAAGAGTGACTGCGTGGATCCACCAGCTCATTAAGCAATATATAATTTTAAATCCAAAATTGTTAAGCAAGCTGCTGTGGAGTTTATTATAATTCATTATTTCTTTCACATAAAATTTAACTGTACAAATTACCACGTACCATCCATCTTCAGTACCAAGCCACATAGTTGGCTGTTTGTTGTCCATGTCATCTTGACATTCTTCTCTGACGATGGAGCTACCTCTTTTTTTGCGTTCATCCTTTCTCTCATCATCTAAAAATCAAATTCACTTCAAATATTCTCATAAAAAATTATTAAGAAAGTTTATTTGAAAGTTCATATTTAGAAGTTCTTCATGCAAACGTAAAAAATTTATAGATAAATTATTTTTTAAGCATATAATAGTAGTATTATTTATTAAGTAGTAGATATTATTAGTAGATATTAGTTATTAAGTAAATAAATAATTTCGACTGTCTAAAAAAATTATTCACTGAAGAACTTTCACTTTAAAAGCTTTATTGAAATAAATCTCTTATAAACGAAATAAAATTAAAGTCCATTGGGAGTTTATATAACAATTATTGTGACTGGCACAGAAAACCAGTTGCATAATTCCATTATATATATATATATATATAATGTTGTATGATCTTAAATCCATTTAGTGTGAATACAAGTTATAACTACTTGCGCAATTGCTGCAAAGTTAGTTAATAATAATTTATTTCCTAAACAGTATTGATTAATTGATTATAGTATCTCCTAAGTTTAATTAAAGTAGAATTACTCGTATTTTAAAAGTGTGAATCCATACTGGTAAGTTATATTTTGAAAGATGTTTTGAAGTAATAGTACTCAAATGCATAAACATGAAAGTGTCGGGGACGGTTACTCGAGTTAAATAGGATTTCTCTACAGTAATTGATTTTTACTCCAAATTGAATTGACTAAAATGCTTCATAAGAATAAGTTCTTTGAGTATCAGCATTGGTTCATAATTCCTTCTATTCGCGGAAATATTTGGCCTGACTAGAATTGCCGGTTTGGCTTTAACTAATAACTCGAGTAAAGACGAAACACTTTCGTATTTACGCATTTTTATCAATTATTGTTCATTGAACGAGAGTTGGTTTGTTCCCCTTGAAAAGTCAACTAATTTCCGATCAATGACAATGATTACATGTTTTAATTTTTCCTTTTACAATTGAAATTTTATTCTTCATGATGATTTAACTCCAGTCCCCGTTAAAACATTATTAACATTTTACTTTCAAATTACTTCAAAACATCTTTCAAAATATAACTTACCAGTATGGATTCACACTTTTAAAATAATTCTACTTTAATTAAACTTAGGAGATAATATAATCAATTAATCAATACTGTTTAGGAAATAAATTATATATATATATATATAACAGTGTGAGTGATGATAAAAAATTAGTTTTTAGGTATAAATAATAAAACAAAATTTTTAAAGACCAATATCTGCGATATAATAAAATGGAAATCTCATTAATAACTTGAAAAATCTCTTCACAACCTCTATTAATAATATTAGTGAAAACGTTAAGGCTTTGTTACAGCCTCCAATTTAGGATTCAAAGACTAAAAATAAACTTGTTTCGAATGTTGTTTTATTTGAGTCTTGAAATAACTCACCTTCGGAAGCGTAGATACACTTGCAAAAGAATTAAATTACTAACTAATTTAATTCTTTTGCAAGAATAAATTACTAATAAAAAATAAATTTATTTCACCACGAACTGCCCAGATGAAAATCTGCTGTTAGTACTCATATCATTTCCAACGAAAAATTTAATAGCGTACAAATAAAAAATGCATATTTTCTACAGAAATGGTTTTTATACTCTTGTTTTAATATAATACCCAACACTAATAAAAATTTAATTATTTACACATTTTAATGAATTGCCTCCCCCCCAAAAAATACTAGAATCAAAGAAACAATACCTGAATATTTCCAAAAACTGCTCTTTAGAATGTATATGTGCTACTTTTTTAATACTACTGCAGTTTTGTTAAAACAGATTAGATACAAACCTGTAATTTACCTTTGAGAAACTGTATATTAGGTATTGCTCCAAATTTTGATTTTTCAAGAAAGATTAAATTTACAGATACCAAGAGCACTGATAAAATTCTTATGCTCAGTAAAGCTCTCTATATAACGTTACGGACTTCCTATACATTGCTAAGTTTTTCTTACGTACGGGTTCATGGATTTGGAGTGATTGACAACAACACTTGGTGAAATATGAAAACACACTTTATTAGCGAGTATTACTCAGGACAGTTCCAAAAGCACGTTCACAGTCGTCGAAAAGCTACAACTAACACGCTGAAACAATCAACAACACAGCCTTCAGGTTATCAGGCTATAACGGTGAAGACAGCTTTACGGCAAAGCACCAGACTACAGCTTCCGACTTGGTTCGGTTGTTCTCGGAATTCAACGTATTCTCGAAACTCCAGCTCCAAGCTATCAGACTATAAAGGTAAAGACGAAGACGACTTCACAGCAAAGCACCACAGTACAGCTTCTGGCTCTGTTCAGTCGTTCTCAGAACTCAACGTATTCTCGAGACTCTCCACATTGCAACTCGCGATGCTCTCGACGATACACTCGATAGACTCGACGATGCACTCGCTAGACTCGCGATATTCCGACGACCAACTCTGACAATCAACTCTCTAGAGGAGGCACTCGATAAACTTGAAGACCGACTCAACTAGTCTGACTATCAACTTGATTGACTAGGCACTGACTGACTGACTATTCGCGTACCAGCAGGGTTTACACAGCTTTCGGCTTGCGTTCGAGAACATTCTGGGCCAAACCGATAAGAAGTCGTTCCAGAAGGTTCTCCATCCGTCTATGGCATATCGCCAATTTTGTCGCCAGATAGGCCATTTCGCGCCAAATATAGCAACCCTGCTTTCCCTTGCCATTTTCTGGCAATCCTAAAACCGTTTTGCGAGGAAGCTATCTTACCGCTGCTGGACTTTCGTAACAATATTTACATATATGCGATATCATTTTATAATACTACGGATTCCCAAATAATCTCAGTGAAATTATATGGGAAATCGTAGCATTTTTTGTATCATGTAGCATGAATTGCTTAAAAGAGACGAAGCTCTGCCGGAAAAATATGAACACAGGGGCAAGTCCATTTAACTTTGAGCAAATGACTATCTCGCTAAATTGGCGAGATATCGCCAGGCTGGCGATGATTTGACAACTAATTTTTGTCACTAAATCGAGAAATCTCCAAACGTCGCCAAACTTGGTGACTATTTGGCGTCCGGTCTCAGAATAACTGTAACTGGTAAGGTAATTGAATAACTGTAATTGATCTCTCTATGTTACTGCAATCGTATCCGGCCCTGATATGTCTTCCAGTAACTTTGAGAAGTCGAAGGTACTAGAAATTTCTCGGCGGTTGGAGGAAAACTATATAAGACCGGGAAAAGCATCAGTTTCTTAGTAGTTGTTTAGTTTAGTGTGAGTTCGGAGTGTTGGGATATCTCCATGTTAGCTTCGTCCTTTAGATTCGCTTTGCATAGCGCTGTGAGTAACGATTTTAGTAGTCTGAAGTGTAATATTGATTGTATTCTGTGATACTGAAAAGAGCTGTACGAGTATTTTTGTGGAAAGTTCCAGAACTCTTAAGTGTTTGTTTTGGTAAAAATAAATTTTATCAGGGTATCATCGGTTTTGGGTGCATTCAATTCGTTACGAATCCATACGCCTGCAACAATACTAATGTTACAGAATATGAAATTTTTATTCTTATTTATTAATTTAATTTATACGCTTAGCAATCTGATTTAAATTTAGAAGTTACTGCATATATAATTTAAATTTAGGCAAAATATTATATATATTGTATTTAAATTTTATATTAATTATATATATTATATATATAATTTTAAATAATAATTTTTATACATATAGACAAAAAGTAAGAAATTGAGAACCAATATCTATATAATTAAAATTGAAAAATTATGTAAATAGGACTTAAAAGTTTTAATGTGTGAGCACTTAATTTGAGCAGTCGCGCGGATTTAATTTAATTAAGTCATGTGAATTTAATTTAATTTTATAATTTTGTGGTATTTATATTGTGTAATAAGGCACAGAAATTGCATAAATTGGTGTATTTAATTATGGCAAAGCACACTAGGGCTATCTGCCTAAGGGAAGGGATGCCTTCGTGGAGGACTTTCTAAGGGAAAATGGCTCGTATACAGAAATTGCATAAATAGCTTACAGACAACTGAAGAAATAAGCTTCTGAAATCTATAGTACCTTGGCGACATTTGAGGAAATCTCGACCATTTGGCAATATTTTCGTAATATACAGGAAACACATTTTTGAGACTCTACTATTTATTTTTTTTTACAAATGTAGCCCGCAAGCTGCCGAGCGGTAAGATCGCTGGGTACTAATAGTTCAACTTAGAATCAAATTCCAGCGAACGGGTTGACTGCATGGAGTTTTCGTTGTTTTTTCCACGTGCAACGGCAAATACAAGACAACTTCCATTAAAACATTCTCCATGAAGAAGGCTCTTCCCTTAAGTAGGTAGCCCTAGCATACTTCACCAAAATTTAAATATTCAGTCCCTTTCACCTCTTTTGGCAAAGGTATAAATGCCAGTATAGGAGCAGATTAGTTGAGAGTTTAGTCAAATTTTGTTGAAGACTTAAATAATTATGTCTATTGATATATTTAAGAATTTAATTTGCCAACAATTTAGTAATTTTGCTGCGTGCTTACAGGTTTGAAATAGTGGAGTTTCAACAGCAATGATCCTAGATTTTTTTTTTAGGGGAGAAATAGTGGTATTTGTTTCTGCTTCTGGATTTCATTTGTTTTGTTTTGGCTTGATAATGGAAAAGCAAGCGAGGGTTAACTGCCTGATGAGGATGCCTTCGTGAATGGTTTTCGAAGTCAAAAGCTCCTATCCAGGGTCTAAGACTTTTCGCCGTCGCCATTTCACTGTGGCCGTTTCGCCGTCAAGACATATTTTTCTTTATATGATTCTATTTTATCTTGCAGTATTATACTCGTATTAAATTTATTTTGATTAATAATTCTGTTTAGCTTTTGTATACTTAAGGTTGCTTTTGTATACTTAAGTTTGTATACTTAAGTTCTGTATACTAAGTTTGTATACTTAAGTTTGGTTTTGTATACTTAAGTTCTGTTATATCAGAAGTTTAGCCCCAGTTTTCTTTGATACTGACATAAATATAATATATATAGTTATTTACAAGTATGAGATATAAAGAAATTACGCATAGTTAGTTGGAAAATCATGTCAGTATCAAAGAGAACTGGGACTAAACTTCTGATATAACAGAACTTATATTATCAATTTTAAAATTATGTGGGTACAATATTTATATGATTCGTCAAAATTTCTTGAAATTTTAATCGGCTAGTTCATATGAATTACTCATACAAGCAGGAAATTCACGTTTTTATGAAATCTGAATGGAAAACGGAATTACTTTGGAATCTTGTCAGCACCTTATTCTTAAAATTAATATGTCACGTGTAAGAGTGTATTTGCATAAAACTGTACGCAAAAACATTTTACATATTATTTTATATAAAATGCTTATTAAATTAAATTTATTTATTAAACTAAACAGAGTTATTAATTTAAATCAACTTAATACAATACAAGATATAATACAGTCGTATAAAGAAAATAGTTCTTGACGGTGAAACGGCCACGTCGAATAGTTCCTATCCATGTTACACATGCAGAAAAGCACGAAAAAACCCATGCAAGCAAGCCCGTTTGCCTGAAGCAAAACTGAAGTCGAACTACCGGTGTTCAGCGGTTTTACCGCTCGGCTGCTAATAATCTTCTCAGCGCCAGATATTAAACACTATTTTCCGTCCCCCCTCGACTATTTTAGCTGCTTTTCTTATGAGCAAAATTGCTATCGTTTAGAAGTGCAATAAAATTGCAAGTATTACTTTTCGACTGACCTATGTATTCCGGAGATTTTTCAGAATAATTAAAAGGCAACGCTATATTTAGAAGTGTCAATTTGTCAAGTAAATGCTAGGATTAAGTTGATGAAATAATAAAACTTCATTTCTTTCCAGCGTGTTCTAGTATATAAACCCAAAATGTTTACATATGCGAGAAGCTTTTTACCTACAACTAAGAAAAGATAATATAAACACGTTATCTATTCTTTCATTTCACTAATTAAATTTTGCCGAATATAAGGGGAAAAATAACTCTCATTCATAACAAAATAAATTTAGTAAAATTAAAAATTTCATCACTTTGCTCGTTTCATCACTTTGCTTTATGTAAATTAAATTATATTAAGAGTTAAATAAGCAGATTACAAAATAATTTATCCTCAAATCATGAATTTTTATTTTTCATTTTAAATTAAACAAAAACACTAATTATTCAGAAAAAATAGGTATTTTATAATGCGAAGAGAAAAACGAAAACTCTGTAAAAAATAAATTCTGACCTGTTGACTCTGTATCATCATCGTCACTAGAATCACTGAAACAACAAAATGTAATATAATTAGTATAAAAACCAGCAAAAAAGAATAATTTTAGTAAATCCATTTTATAAATTCAAATAAAGTTTATGAATACAGGCAAATAGAAATGCAAACCCCTGATTTTCACTTAAAATTATATATTTCTAAAAAAATGTGTTTTTAAAAAAAATTAATATAAATGTATTAAGGCTTTATAATGAGAAGGAATAAATTATTTCATAACTTCAATATTTATGAATAGAATTTAATAACTTAATGAAGACACACGTTTTCAATGGTGTGTCTTCATTCGTTTTCAATACTGTCAAAAATCACAAAATACTTCAACAAGAATTTTACCAAATGTGTTTTTGGTTATCATCTATGCTTTAAGTTAAAAAATTTAATGCTTTTAAAACAATGAAAAATACAAAAATTAAGAAATTGCAGATAAATAGCTGTAAAACTTTTCTGATGAGTATTTTAACTATGTTATCGATGTTACATTATCAAATTAGGCATATTTATACATAAATAACCATTCGGTCCCTAATTAAGAAAACTGAATTTTTAAGGAATTTTATCACGATTCTTATCTCTTTTAAAAGATGTAACAAATAAGCAGTATTTCAAAAATGTTATGATGTGCTATTTATCAAATTAGCAAGTTTTAGCATAAACTATGAAATATAACTTTCTGACGTAAACTTATTAAACTAGCAGATCGAATATGGAACGCCATATGGGGGAGATGCTTAATAAAAAGAAGGCCCTCTAATTCTTGATTTTCGCCGCCCAGCCGGTACCGTGGTTAGTGACTCTGACTGCCGTAGCGATGGACTCGGGTTCGAAACCCCACAGAAGGCATAGTTGTAACTGTCCGTGACTTCATAGGAGGCAATGGTGGCCATCTATTAGATGCTTCCATAATGAAATGGCCACCACTTCTGGCCCTTGTAGTGGCACAAAGCTATTCTTTATGCGTTTAAGTACATTAACGGGCGTCTTTAAGAGTGTCCATGCAATTAAGGCAGTATTTTAGAGGAAAAGGTGCCCGGGGATAAAGCGGAAGAAGCATTTTGGAAATACATATAAGAATATACCTCTTTCGTATGGCATTTGTGGGAACTTTGTAGAGACTATTTCGTTTCTAGAAGCAGAAACGTGAAAACTCAGCGGTGCTTTCGCCGGGATTTGATCCACGGATCTTCCAATGTTAGCTGGATTACACAACTATTATTATACCATGACAGCAAGCATGGCAGGAAGGCGATAGTTCCTTACGTCATCCCTTAACCAACTTAAAAGGCGGCTTAGTAGACCTAATCCAGATCGAAACGAAATACCGTTAGCACATTTTTAGTTCGAGCGCCACTGTAGATATTATTAGGTTTCTCCAAGTAGGAAAAGTGGAAAAATAATTGTATCCCTGCCGGGATCTGAAATGCGAATCTTCCAGTGCCGGATCGACATGTTAACATGTACACCACGAGACCAGGCAGAGGAAGAAAACTAGAACTCCTTTCAGCTTCCGGGTATCGGAGACAAATCTTGACCTGTTGGAGGATTTGAACTCGTAATTAGGCAATAACTTTTCTGAAACCATTCCAAGCAGATTACGGATACTTGGAACTTATGACAGCAGGCTACACTTTAACTAATGCTGTAAACTTACCCTAGCATGAATAAACAAGATGGTGCATAAAGGATTAAGACGTGTTTACTGTATGTATAATATAGGATTAAAGATCCTTCGTCAACAAAACTGCTCGGTCAGCGGAATCCTTGTCTATTCTAGTACACCAAGCGACCTCCCTTTCCATCCACTAACATGATTTTAAATACTGTACTAGACTGAGATATCCAACGTTTACATTCTTTCTCCTCATATCCCTACAGACAAATTCCATATGCTACCGAAAGAAAGCAGAAACTATTTGACATGCGAAAAGAAACACTGAGGAATAAGCCGGGAAATAAACAAAACAAAGTCCCTCCCCTCCCCTCCCAAAAAGAATAACCGAAGTTATGCATCGTATAGACGCTGACCTTCCGTACCGAAGGGTCTAGGTTCGAGTCAAAAAGAAAGCGTAAATATTTGTAAATGTATAGCATCTGTGTAGTATGCAGGTACTCAAAATATTCCGAAAGTCCTCTCGAGCGGCTTGCTGGTAGGAGACCCTCGGACTCAACCTTTTCCCCAGGGGCTCTACTTCAAAAAATCGGGGCAGAACTGGGCAAAATCGTTTTCTCCCTATGTGGTGCTCAAGGCTCATACTATATACAGACGCACCCTTGTACTGCTTGCCACGATAAAATCTGTGACTCGTTCTGAGTATGTCAGACGAGTGAGATTAGCCACAACAACATACGTAGTGTAAATGAAATAATAATATGATGGTGTTTGGTGTATTTAATTATGGCAAAGCACACTAGGGCTATCTGTCTAAGGGAAGGGATGCCTTCGTGGAGGACTTTCTAAGGGAAACTGGCTCGCATACACGTTACACACGGGGAAAACTACGAAAACGCCCATGCAGCCAGCCCGTTCGCGGGATTCGAACCTCGGACCGAACTACCAGTGTTCAGCGACTTTACCGCTCGGCCGCTGGTGGGCCGAAATAATAATATGAAAAATATGGAAAAAAAAGTAATTAATCGGGACGACGACGAGATGAAACGAACACAAGGAAGTAGTCGGGACGACGAGATAAAGATATGAAACGACAAGCAGATAAGACACATACAAAAATTGCTTCATTGTACCTTCATTGTCATAGCCTGTGAATAACGTGATACTTAATCAAATAGTGAGTAATCGAGGCAAGTCATCAAGCAAAGTGCACTAAGAAATAATTCACAATTAATGCTTACCTATCTAACTGAATATTTCCATTGTTGGGACGCTCTTCTTCATCTACTTCATCTACTTCCTCCACCTCTACACTGACACCAGTCGTATTGTCTGGTAATGCTGGTTTCCAGCGGTTCTTCTCGGGTGCCCTAGATAATGACATTAATAACAAATTTTATATGTAATTATTTCATATTTAGAAAAAACACATTAAACTTATTTACGCATTATAAAGTCTTGTCTTTATTCAGAATTCAAATTAAAATTAACTTTGCAATTGAGTTATTAAAACTTAATTGCCTTCCCATTTCATAATTCAAGCCTAATGAGATGCTAAATCCTCACGCACACACACCTTAAATCGATAAGAGACACATATTCAGATTATTACAGAACTCTAGTTTGTTGGATTGCCATTGCAAAGTAAGCTAGTACTTGAACTTAGTGCTTTCAGTTTACTGATGAATTATCTACTAACGAGTTAATGAAACATTTTCTCTTATCTTTAAACATGCTTTTAATAACGATAAAAGTAGACCATAGATCATTTACGTATAGATTTCTCGGTAAGATGAGTAAATTTGGAATATTTTCAATCATACCAGGATTTAGTATAAAATAAGGTTTCTTCCCTGTTGTTGGTCTTCAGTTCTGCTTTAGATGAACTGAAGAAATGATGAATATATTATTTTACGTATTACAGGATTATTTAAAATAAAATGACTAAATATTCATTTAAATACACACACCATAAATGGCTAATAAAATTAGTAGTAAACAAAATACTCTGCAGAAAATTCGGTAATAAAATATTCATTGGAATTTGCATGGCTAGGAAATAGGTAATATGTAAATCTATCTTTTTGGCTTTCTCATCTCTTCGAAGCGGACAATAAGGTATGTGATAACTTTCTGTCAGTGAATCTTCGGAAGAAAGACAAGATGAGACTTCGCAGTTGTGCTGCATTTGTAGATATCTTGAAAAACGAAGCAGCAGGCGTTAACAACATGGCTTAATGCAAGGCTGTCCTGAAAACTTTCCTGGTGTCATGAAAATTTTCAGGATATTGATGCAACATCACAAGGAGGTCAAATTATTCATGCAGGAAATCCAAAACGCCTATAGATATGGAGTTTTCTTCTGGAAACGCTTTGGATTTCCATAAGATACTGCACGAAATTTTGAATTTGATGTCGAATATTTTAACCGTTGCAGGACATCCTGTTGATAACCATATCATACTTATAACGGTTCAGTGTGGCTACCAAAGAACTCCGATATTAATACTTGCGAATTCATCTTGTGGAAGTAACTAGGAAAAAAAGAAAAAAAAAATCACAGAGAAATGCAGTGCAAATGTGAAAGGCCACTCTTTCAGCGGTTGACAAAGGATTTAACCCGTAAAATTACCACAAACCTGAGAATCAGCCTGGAAGAAGCTACATGCCAAGATGGTTTCAATACTGAACACATCCTGTATACTAGCGCAGCCACGCACACTCCAGAGAGAATTTTAATACCACTTTTTTATACATATTTTGTACATTAAAATTTTACAAAACATTTAGTGTTAGTCATTTTGTTCAACACTTTGTAATTAAATTACACATGTATGTAGAATCTAGAACTTCTTAAAGTATCCATTTTCAAAATTGGCAAAATTCTGAAAAAAAGTTTAAAGAAAGAACAAACACTCTTAGAACAATGATGATCAACTTTTAGAGCTTCTAAACCACATAAAAAAGATTCAGAATCGTAGAAAGAAATGGCGGCTCGTCACTTTATTACTCTCAGTGCTAATTTTAGTACCATTTTGTTTGGTATGGTGATTAGTGGTTTGTTTGTTTCATCTGATTATGACAAAGCACTCGAGGGTTATCTGGCTGGGGGAGGGAGGGAGGTACCTTTATGGAGGATTTTCTAAGATGGTGGTTAGCAAAGCTGACTACCGTACCGTTGATCCGCAGTCGACTATCAGAGACGACATAAATGCTTGTAGTTTTCTATCCCAATGCTTGCGGGTCTGATATTAGATGCATGCCCCCTGCGGTGCCCCTGGATAACGTTTTCGGTGAAAAGTGACTAAATGACTGATCAATTTAGCCATTCTTGAAGAACATTCAATTCGCAAATCCTCGTCGATGGAATAATAAAAACATCAATAATAAAATATATGTTTTTCCGTGCCTAATATAAATATGAACAATTTCCTTTAGAAAGTCATCCAAGAAGGCATCCCTTTCCATAGGTAGTCTTTGCGTGTTCTGCAGTATTCTGATACACAAACAAAACTAATTCTTATTTAGCAGATTGCCTTTGATTTATCCAATGGTTCTTCCGGTTTCTTACTTGAAACTTCTTTTTAAAATCTTTCATCCAATTAAAATTTTTATTTGAAGGTCCCGTTGGAGCAAATTATAGCTTGATAATATTTTTTACTAAAATAATTTTTAGTTTGAGACTTTCCTTTATCTATTATTTCAAGAATTCACAGTCATCCATATACGATTCAGAAACGTGGCTCTATTGAAATTCTTCCCGAAACTCTTTGAAAAAGACCAAGGAATTTAGGAATTTTCAACAAAATTTTTTAATTAATTTTGCTATGCCGCATTAATTATTTTTTATTATGTCATTTTATTAAATTGTTTTTGTTTCTATTTTGATATGTGCACTTCCAGTTCGACGGCTGACCGATTTCTTGATTTGATTTGCATTTAATTATTATCTGTTGATTTTTCAATTAAAATCGCACCATACTGCTCGACTTTAAAAACTTTAAATTAATTTAATAAATTGTTAAACTTTATATATATGTGATAAAAAAAGAAAAAGACGTAGCAATATTGTTAAGTGTAGAGCGTAGATCCATATTGAAGAGAAAGAATACTGATTGCGTAGAATACTGAAATGCCGATCCACAATGAATAAGCAATTTTTCAGTAGAGGCAGTTTGAATTCCCCTTTTATTTAAATCCACATTTATAGTAAGTAATCGAGGCAAGTCATTAAGCAAAGTGCACTTTTATAACCACAGTTCACTTGGCACTCTAATCGTACCTATTTTCAAAATATTTAAATTTTTTAATATAATTGCTACAGGAACACAGCACAGCGAAATTAGGTATAAGCAGAAGCAGAGTTACAAGCGAAGTGCATTTTATCTAATTGGGCACGATATCCCTCAGGAGGACATCCGCAACCTCTGTCAATCGATGGCAAGCCGAATAATTGCTTGCATAAGGGCCAGAGGTGGCCAAACGCGTTACTGACTTTTTCACTTTGTGAAGCTCCATCACTTCAATAAATCAACCAATTTTTCTCAAACTGTAATAATTTGTTTTTCTGTACATGTACAATGTACATCACTTCTACCGATTTTCGTCCCATTCGGATAACGCCTTCTTGGTGCGTAGGTTTTTTTTTTTTTTTTTTTTTTTTTTTTTTTTTTTTTTTTGTCTAAGAGTATATATGTAAGAAAAATTAAGAATATGTAAAAGATTAAATTAGCAGCAATAATTCATTTCCCTTCTCTATTCTAAAAATAGTAACCTCTATTTATACTGAGTCATTTCGAGATTAATCCATGTCCATATGACTCTTACATAATTTTGATTATGTAAATGGAACTAAAACTCAGCCAATAGCAATTTTAAAGCAGTATTAACTATCCAATCAAAATGTATTGAGAACCAAAACTAACTCAGTCTGCATTAAGATTTCACCCTGAACCGCACTTGCTTTCTAAGCTTTGGCCTAGTCTGTCTGCTCCTTTTGTCTTACTGCAAATTGTTCTAAAATGAAAATTTTTGGAATAGGTACAATTAATGTGCCAACTTGATTGTGGCCCCAACATATTTGCCGAAATAAAAAATGAAGATTTAATCTGCCTTCGCCTCCAATTTCCTATTCATTATGGATCAACACTTCATCAAAATTCCTGCTGGTCATTACTTCTGAACTTGTTTTTATCACACACACACACATATATGTAAGATAAAAAATAAGTAAACCATCTATATATATATATATATATATATATACATGTGTGTGTGCGTGTATGTATGTAGTTGTTGATTTGAATATGGCTAAGCATACGAGGGCTATCTGCTTAAGGGAAGGATGCCTTCGTGGGAGACTTCTTAAGCGAAATTCTCTAAATCTTCTAACTTCTTAAGCGGAAATGACGTGTCTCGCCCGTATACATTTTCCGTGCCAAACTCGATGACGACTGCCCCATATTTTAATGCTTAAAAACATATAAATTTCTTTTAACTCGTAAAAAAAATGAAATGAAATTAAAGAAAAATTCAAGTTAATTTTTAGAGAATTCAGGATATTAACATTTCAGAATCTGATATTTTTTATTTGAACAGCAACTGAACTTTCAGACTTCGTGATTCCTAAAAATTCTTCGCCATCTGATATTTCTAAAGCTCAGCCAATGGTCAAATAGTTAAGATCTCTAAATACAGTAGTTCGACGGGCAATCAAGCTGAGCTAGGTTTCCATGGTTTTTTCATGTATTACATGAATGCGAGCATTTCTTGTTCCTTAGATCATCCTCCATGAAGGCACTCCTTCTAAAGGAAACAACACTTGCGTGCTTTGCTCTACCTAAATTTTTCCTTCTAAGCTTAATCCAATGTTAAATCACGTAATGCTTCTAGATTGATTTTTTGAACAGTCATTACTAATTTATTGCTAACAATGCAAGATAATATACTTCTCCGCGGATTCACAAGCATTCCGCTTTGTCACATTGCAGGGCCCGATTAAAGCAGTCTAAGGCCCTACTCACTACGTTCATTCAATGGCCTCTAATGTGCTCATTTCTTTGTTTTAGTGAGAAAAATTAGGGTTATGAGGAGTTATAAAAGGACTGAAACCCGGGATTTAATGCCAGGAACCTGGACCTTGGGGTCAGGCAGTAATCAGGCCGTAGTCATATGCAGTAACTACTTCTCATAAGTCAACGAAATATCTTTGAACTCTAGATTTTTTTAAAGTTCACAGCAAAAATCACAGTGCAAAATAATCCCCTGAGTTTATCCACGAACTACATGCATTTCCTTTGATTCCTTTGATGGTCTCATTTAGTGCATACTCATACTAATACATACTCATTATGCGCAAGATTATGCAAAA